ACAATAGGGTTCCATGCTCTGCTGGAGACATGGAAACGGTGCTGCTTTGCTGCTGCGTTACCCTGCTTCCGCGGGCTTGGACCCCTAATAATGATATTTTTGCAATATATTTTTTAGTTTTAAAATGTCACCTCCACTAGTGGTAGAGGTTCCCAAAAAGGTCCCAAAAAGGCCCACGGACCAGCAGTTGATAATCACAGTTGTGGCTTATTTTGTGACTCTGGACACATTTTATCGGTGAGCCAAGGAGCAGAAATGGCTCTTTTAATTGTAAAGGTTGCAGACCTCTGGATTAGTTGGAAAGAAAAGTTGCCATGTTAGGGTTTGATAAAAAAAAAAGAGCGCACACTCTGCTTCTCAGTAAGTAAAACACAACAAGAAACAGTATTTTATTAGGAAGCACTTTTGAGATTTTGTTTCATTTTTTTAAGCTTGGATAAAAACAGTGACTTGACACTTRTGTTGTATTCAATATGGAACATTATAAACAAAACAAATGTTGAAACAAAAAAACCCACAATTATTAGTAGTAATTCTTAAGGTTGTAAAAGTATGTTTCAAATAAGAAACACTTGCAATAAATTAGATTAATTGGCAACAGGTCAGTAAGAATTTTTTTTCTACATTTGATTTATTTTTCACGTTCCAATATGAATAATATATCAGTTTATGAGATTTTCAATTCTGTTTTTGTTTATAACATATGAAATCGGGGCCATATATTCTGGTCTCCAACACACTTCAACATGTGGATCAGTTTTTATTTGTTTTAATTTGTCCTGTGCCATCAGATATAGGTGTACCGGTGCTGTGATGAGTCTTTTCCAGGTTGCTGCGTCGACAGTATGTCAGCTGTGAGACGTGCAGTGTAGCTCTCAGACTGTGATCACAGTGTCAGCTGTCACTGTGTGTTTCTGCCTGTTCTCCGCAGGCCTGGCTTCAAACTGACCAACAACATGAGGAAGCAGTACACTTGTTAGAGGTACGGTAACAAGAACCAACACTGATGAGTTTTTGCATCAGCACCATCTTTAATGTTGCTCACTTGATTGAAAGTTTAATGGTAATGATGTTCATTCGCCCCGTTTGAACTTTGTTGAATCTCGGTTTGACTCACACTTTATGCTTAACGTTGAAAGCAGAAAATTTTGTGTTTACAAGAGGAATTCTTTCAAAAATACTTATCAACATCTCCTAATTATCTTCAATGGRGGAGTGCCACTAATTTAGCAGAAACATAAAATACAAACTAGAACGTGTAGCTGCTGATGGTGCAACGTGAAAAGTCATGAAATCAGCGAAACGATGCAAGCTTCCTCTGGGGTTCACGAGTATCCATGGAAAATTTTATGCAAATCTGTCTTTTAACTGTTAAGATATATTTCAGGCTTGCACACAGTGTTGCATTTACCGACACTGTCATCCATGGAGGAAGTGTCGAAAAATAGATTCTTATTAGAACAAATTGCTGACTTGCACGCAAGCTTTCAATAATCTACCTTCTGCAGAGGYGGAAATCATGTGAAATACTTAAAAAAAAGAGCTCTATTAAAAGATTGACACAAGTGTGAAGTGTCCCAAGCTAGGCAAAGAGTGAGAAAACGTAATTGAGTAAAAAAGTCTAAATAGCAGAAATTGGAGTGTTTGACACAGCTTTCAAATAAAGTTATTGTGGGAAGACAAATACGGGATTTAATGTGGAGCAACAAAAGCTAAAGACGTTTAATCTAAATGTCAGCATATGTTAGAAACAATCAATAATGTAAACTTTATCGATTCAGTCAGTGATACTGAGCTACATTTTAAAAAAAATGTAGTTTATTGACCTTTACCTCTATGACAACGCAAACAACAAAAGAAAAAAAAAAACAGAAAATTGTCAGGTTAAACAATAAAACATTGGCTCCCACATAACAGAAAACTGATATTGCAATCGAGTTAAATGGTTTATAGTTTATAGAGTCCTCTTTTTAATGTAGTCCACAAAAGGTCCCCAAATCCTCACAAATTTGTTATGGTTATCAGACAGTTTATATCGTAACTTTTCAGTGTATGTAAGACACCATATCATTCAAMCGATTATAAAAACAGGGAGGTGCTGCAGACTTCTCTTAAAAGAACCATTTTTGCAACAGTCATGCCAAACATAACTGCCTGTTGAAGTGGCTGAGGGCCGGACACTGTCTGGTCAGAACAACCAAGTATTACATGAAGGCATCAGGCGTGATGGTTTTCTTATACAGTATATGGAACTGCACAGTCGAAAAATCTCCATCCATACAAAACCACCTTTTATCAACGTTGCTACTAACTGATTTGAATTAATGGTTGATTATCAGGCTTCTGCAGAACTTGGAAGAGGTAATTCAGTGACTGAATCAGGTGTGTTGGAGCAGGGAAAAAAGTAAACCATGCAGGGCTGCGGCCCTTAAGGACAAGGATTGTCCATCCCAGTCCAGACTCTCCTGTGGCCATGTGGAGCTCCCTAAACACTTGCTGGTACAAAGCACCGCCTATTTGTATAAAGCTCCTCCCTGGAGCTCAGTCTGCTGCTTGGCTTTTGTCCCACAGAGCAACCCTCTCCCGAAGCATTGTTGTAAAGATGTGCTGAAGTGGGAGTGTCAGAAACAGTAGGAGGTTCTTAAAGAGACAGAGGCCAATTTCAAGGTGTTTAGATAGCCTATAGCTGCGTTTCTATCAATATGTTTTTATACGCATTTTGAAGTATTGCATTAGAAAAGCTGGATGAAAACAGTAAAAATTCGCAAAAATTTCCTCAATTTTGCAAAATGAGATTTTACACTCGCTAGAGGTGGTTTTTTGATTTTCCSAAAAAGAGTTAATGCGCAAAACGGGAGATGGAAACACATTTGCTGAGCAAGTTCTGACATAGCGAACGTTTACCTGACATGGTTGATCAGCTGTTCCCGCTGTMCAACTATTCTACCGGCTGCAGCTGGACCCTTYTCCCGCTGTCGGTGTCTTCCTGGATATTCCCGYAACGTGTAGAGAATTGGATTTCTTTTTCTACGTCTGTAACATCGCCAAAACTAGTTGATCTGACAGAATAATCACAACTTTTCTGATAGGAGCAACACATTCTAACCTCTCAAATTGTTCTAGTCCCTGCGAGTTTGCGACTTTACTTCCTGTTTGCTACAGCCATGYGCAACGTCAGCCTCTGACGTAATTACACTTTGCGTAGCCTGGTTAATTCACTAAGTCAGTTGATGGAAACACATCTGATGCACATTTTTTGCGACTTTTTAAAAGTTTGCTCAAACTGCACTTTATAATTGAATGGAAACATGGCTTATGATGTGAAGTCAAAATATTTTATATATATGAATACAGCATTTTCATAACAACTGAAGGTAACATAGTTACTTGATTGTGGTATAGAATTGAAAATACACTATACACCCACTTTAAGTTAAGCAGCACAATTTGCTAATCCTCGGATAAGTCCAAAATGTTTTATTTATTTTTTGCTCTTTATAGAACGTTATGTAGTTTCTATTAGTCATCCATCAGCAAATTTAAACAACAGCTTATGTTGCTTTGTTTTTCCTCTCTCTAGAGGTTTTCTGTTGTATTTTAGTGTAAAATCGAACTTCAGAGCGTTCAGTCGGTTTTGCAGCATCAGACTGACAGGTCCCATTAACAGAACACCTGGGCTGACCGTGTCCCAGTGATCAAACAGACTGCCTGCTGTGTTTTATCACTGCCCTTTTTTTTCAAGATGCGTGTCACTGCCTCATCTACTGGAAATCATTTTCTAATTTTACCCTAAATCCTTCCGTGACAATGGCTCGCTCGCTCCTTTGAGTGCAGTTCAAGTGGGGTCATGTCATCATCCGTCGGAAGCACTTTAATACGATTTTACTGAGCAAGCAGACTGAGTTTGGTGCAGACAAACAATGTGCTGAGAGAAATTAAAACTCACTCAAGGAGATAGTTTTCTTTGTTAAATCTGTTGAATCATTTTTTCCTCCTACAATCCTGTTTTTTTTTTTTACTAACATGCAACCATTTTCATTTCTGTATTTAAACCATGTTGAGTTTGCTAGTTCTTTTCAGTTTGACATTCCAACAGCATTAATTTGACATTCATTTTGGTTTGACTGTTTTTCATTGCTTTCCTTGTCTTTTGCAGCATATTTTTGTCATAATTATATTTTCTTGTTTTTTTCTTTTTTGCTTTTGCTTCTTTCTGTTTCCTGGCTTTTTTGTCCAAACAGAACAATAAGGACAAAATGTTTCAGGTATTTTTATTTCTCCCTGATTGGTTCCTTCTCTACCTTACACATCACCAAAGCTCAGAGATTGTTTCTCTTTTTAAATAAAGTCAAATAAAAACACTTTAGGTGACCAATTATTACATATGGCATAGATCTACATATACAACACAGATCTACAGATTGTATCTTTATGGATCTTGACTGTGTTATATGTGAGTGGATGAATAAACCTCCCTCCTCACACTTTGATTAGACTGCCTTAGTTTCAGTATACCATTACACCTGAGTTTATGGTTCTTTAGGGATCCTTTTGTAATTAGGTCAGTGCTCAATCAGCAATAACAGATAAAACAGCTATTCTTTCCAGGGCCCAATTCTGTACAATTACATGTGATAAATTTCACCCTACCAGGCTTTCCCTTTGCTCAAGATGACTATATTTACCCTTTCCCTCCTTTTGTCAAAGGTCAAGCTTTGTGACCTGGAGCAGAAATGCAGGTCACACAGTGAGCACTTCCACCAGCTGTCCAATGAGCTGTTGAGCTTCTGCTTGCATTCGGAGCCCATTGAGATCCTCGTACAGAGTCGTTCCACCCCAGCATCCCGGATCCTTTCCTCTCCTGAGGAGAAACTCTCAGAGGTCACTGCTGAATTTGAAGTCAATTCAAAGACAGGTGGGTCAGATTTTTAGCTCCAAGTCAAATTCAATTTTTTTTAAGCAACGTTTGTTCAAACTGTCACATTTTTCTGTTGGTATTTGTTGTTTCATGAATATTCATCATCAMCTGCCGCTGATGAGTGGACAAGAATGTTTTAGTTCGTGTCTGTGTGTCTGTGTATTTGTGTTTTTACCAAAGTTTTTACTAAAGCTTATAGAAAATATTCACTGGATGTACCTACAACTGATAAAGGCTAGTTATTTATTATTACTATCATTTTATGTATATATATATACACACACACACACACACACACACA